CACTGGTTAGGCCACATTTGGAATATTGTGTTCAGTCTTAGGCTCCTTATCTTAGGAAAGACATTAAATTGTTGGAGAGGGTTCAGAGAAGGGCTACTAGAATGGTGCCTGGGATGGAGGGGTTGTCATACGATGATAGGCTGAAATCTCTCAAATTGTTTTCTCTTGAAAAAAGAAGAGTTGGGGGGGGGATCTGATTGAGGTGTTTAAGATTGTAAAGGGAATTGATAGTGTTGATGTATCATCTTTTCTTATATTTAACAATGAGAATAGTAGGACTAGGGGACACGAGTATAAATTTAGGCAAGGTAGGAGTCATCTTCAGCTAAGACAGTTTTTATTTTTTTAAAAGGGTGGTTGGCCTTTGGAATGGGTTGCCTTCAAATGTTGTGCAGCCAGTAAATTTAAGCAAGTTTAAGAGAAAGCTTGATACCTTTCTGAATGATAAGGGCTGGGTTTAAAATTTGTTTATATTATTTTTTTTAATCATTTTAATTTAGTTTTGAGGATGGAACAGGCAAGATGGACAAATATGACCCATATTGTCCCAAAATATTATGTTACGAGACAGTGATAAACATTTTATGTAAGTGAAACACACAACATTAGAAATGAATTGTTATAAAGAAAAATTTTCAATACTGTTCTTAGAATTCTCCTCAGTCCATAATTTGGTTGGTCTTAAGCGGATTCTTAGAAAACTAGGATTCAAAGATCAATATTAAGAAAGTTTTAAAGTGGTGTAAGTCCATTTTGTGTTCTGCCACCATTGCACTTGTAAGAAAATAAAGATAATTTTATGTACAAGCAAATAATAATAATACCAATAATAATTATATTTGATATACTAATCTTTTCCTGTGAAAAACATTCTGCTTATTGAGTTCAGGGTATTTGTTTATCAGAGATCATCAGACATGTGATTGATTCTTTACATTCAGACCATCAGTAAACAACATTTTTGAATTAAGAACTGATTCACAAACCCATTTGCAAAAAAAGTGCAAGTTGCACCTATAAAACCCCCATACCCCTACTAATGCCATACTGAATGTTTCATTCTCTCCCCCCCCCCCCCCAATTTGGTTGACTTAGAACTTTGACTCATAATCTTTGAAAGTAAATCAGGTTTAGAACTTTGTGCATAGTACCTGTTGTATAATTTGGGTTAAAATTGATCTATCTAACTTGCCCAACATGCCCCCCCCTCTGCTTCATGAAACAGTAAAGTATAAAAGTGAGAATTTCACCAGTATTTTCCTAATACTACTATTTTTTCTCTAGAATCTACAAGTCATCATCATTACATATATATTGCCTTTTATGAAAATACTACCAAGATAGTATCTATAAAGAATTACCTGGCAAAAATAACTTCACCTACATCTAATTAAATATAATATATACAAATGCTTAGAATCTTTCAAAGGTTGGACATCAAAGTATTTAGGATATTTATGCAGCATTTTCATCAAGAAATAAATTTACAATTCAAATCAATTTCTTTATTGAGTTTCAATAATAATTACAATAGGAACACCGAGATAAGTTTCTTTCTTGCGTCTCAATAATAATAATTACAATATGAACACCAAGATATTTCTTTCTTGCATCTCAATAATAATAATAATTACAACATAAACACCGAGATAAGTTTCTTTCTTGCGTCTCAATAATAATAATAATTACAATATGAACACCGAGATAAGTTTCTTTCTTGCATCTCAATAATAATAATTACAATATGAACACCAAGATAAGTTTCTTTCTTGCGTCTCAATAATAATAATTACAATATGAACACCAAGATAAGTTTCTTTCTTGCGTCTCAATAATAATAATAATTACAATACAAACACTGCAATACATTTCTTTCTGTAGATATGCTAAAAAAATGTTGATATTCATCTTACGAGTAATAAATAAAGCACCAATTCATAGGAAGTCGGCAGACATAATTGGTTCTAGCCAAAACTACTAGTTAACCTTAGAAATGCAAAGGTATAATGACTTTTAGAAAAATTGGAAATCTCCTATAGATAGGGTAAGTTAGCACATCCATTCAATTAATGAAGAAAAGCAATTTTAGTGTCTTTGGGTATTTTGTAAAAACAAAACTGTATACTTCAACTGAAGGCAAACCTCTATCTATGTGTTATACGTAAGGCTATTTTAAATTTTAATAAACAAACTAACTCCAAAAGGACTTAACTTTTAGATGCTTGTTCTCATGCCATGTAACTTCACTATTATTATAAAATACAAATTTGCTTCAGAGTAACTTTTTGACAGCAATAAAAACTTAACAAATTCGAAAGCAACAAAATTCATGTAATTTTAATCATAGTATCCTGTAAATGGAAAAGAACGTACTACTTACACCAGTGTTAGGGTCCACAGGACATTTTCCAGCATGACCATAGCATACACATTGACCACCAATCGAGATATCTTTAATGGAGTAGAAATACTGAAAAGAAAGAAGAAGAAAGTTACTTACTGTTCACTAAAACCAAAACCATATCATTTCTAATCTGATAACACATCTGATAAACATCTAACTTTGTATAATGATTTTAAAACACAAATAATTTAATATTACAATAAGGACTTCATCAGAAAAGTATGAAAGAATGGATGATCTAGTTTTCAACATGAATAATCAATGCAAGGAAATAAGCAATATTCATTAATACGTACTTAATAGAAAAATAATTCATCTCATAACTAACTAATGTAACCATATTATATACATTTCTGACTATATAAAAATGCACACTGATGAAATTCCACACAAATCTAAGCATGCTGATACTAGTGTATAAATCTAATGAACTCAGTGTACATTTAAAATACTGTAGTACCACACTTCAATATTTACATCAAATTATATTATGTCGTCAAGAAATTAATGTCGCATTTTGAAACACTTTCATTAACCACCTCCCAAAAAATATACATCATGTATAATAAACTAACTGCCTAAATGTCATGTTAGTGTAACCTATATAATTTGTAAAGTTTAGTATACTCTAATTCTTTCTAGTGAGGGCACACAATGAGACACACATTCAGCATGTAATGCTGTTAGAGTACAAGAAGGGAAACAATGCTTGTGTAGCCTCAAAGAATATCAAAAAAGTTTATGGAAATGTTTTGAACGTTTGTAAGTGTCAACAATGGTTCAGCAAATTTCAT